TGTCCCCTACCCAGATATTGGCCCGCGATGCGGGAGGACAAAACACTCTCCGTCTCGACTCTGCACTCTTGAACAACACTCTGTCGTGTCGCATGTCTCATGGCATAATCCACGAGGCATTTTCCATCCGCGTATACGTGTGTGTAGTGTCACTCGGTATTTTTCTTCAAAGGCTAACAGGTGGCGGGCCGGCGGCAGGCGAGAGTACGCCGCCGCGCCCGGCCGGCCGGCGGGCCGCGGCGCCGCGTGTGGGCCGAGCGTGCGCTCGCGCTGCGGGTAAAAAAGTCAAGCCGGGGGCGCGCGCGGCCCGCGGGACCTCTGGGGACACGCCGCGTCCTCTCGCTAGACTCGCTAACCGTTCGCTACAGTGTACACAGACTACACGCAACACGCCGTAACACCTAACACGGTGGTGCGGTGTGATATCTCTTTTGTCGTGGACACCGTCTCTCGACGACGAACGTGGGGACCACACGCCGCGACCTCTCGCTAGACTCGCTGACCGTTCGCCACAGTGTACAGACTACACGTAACACGACAGCGAGGTCAGGTCACAGGTTGAGGGGACACCCCTACGATGTCGAGCGACTCCTCCTGGCCGATCGTGTGCACGGACGTGCACGGACGCGCTGCGGCAAAGGCCAAAGCGGAAAGCGCCAGCTGAGACGTGACAGGTCCTCCTCTCTCGAGCTTTCGTCGATCGAGAGCGAGGGGAGCGGTGCGTGCGCTGCGGCTCACGCAGAGGCGCGCGCAAGCGAACAGGAGGATTTTGAATGATCTGTGAAAGCGAATAGGTCTGTGAATACCCCATTTTCTTCTCAACAACAAGGCTGTGAATAGCTCGATTAGGGACGCACGAGCTACGCGACGCACGCATCGACGATACGCCGCCGTGCCCGCAATGGGGCTCAAGGACTTCGCGAAGAATGTGGGCGGCGCAATGAACAAGGGTGCGATGCAGGCGCCGGTTCTCCACGCGGCCCAGTTCGCCCGCTCCCGCTTCAAATTCAGCAACACTGGCGATTTGTCGCTGAGGCCCGCGCCCTTGCTGCGGCCGCAGGTGTCCATCAACACTGAAATCACGGTACACAAGACAAACATAGCCTCGGAGAAGAAGAAATTTGGCGCCGATGTCTACCCGCTTCTCGAGGCGAGCGGCGGCGTGTGGACGGAGGAATGCACCAAGCTGTGGACCGAGAGCCTGGCGAAGGTGCTGCAATCCTAGAGGGCGGGCGCTCCTTCCTTGCCACGCGAATTTCGTCACTCTCACACTCCCCCCCGCATAGGTGAAGGACATTGAGGCCAAGATCGAGGAAAAGAGGAAGAAACTGAAGGAGATATGCGGGACAGGGGAAGGCGCATCAGCTGCGGAAGATAGTGCTGCAGTGGCAGAGGCCGAGGAAGTCCCTTTGGGCACGTCCGTATCATGAAAGAGAAGGGCGGATGACTGCTTAAGCTCGTAAAGGTGTTCAATACAGGTGGCGGTGTTCAATAGAAATTCCCTCTCGACGTCATGGAGACTACATGCACATGCACACATGCACATGACAACACATGCACATGCACATGCACAGCATGCAACACGCACACATGTCATGTGCATGTGCATGTGCATGTGCATGTGCATGCACATGTGCATGCACATGCACATGTGCATATGTGCATGCACATGTTGTTGTGGCCACCGCCATAGTCCAAAGACACGTGCTGAAACGCACACCCACCCACGACCAGCCCCAGTCATGGGGCGGGTTGGAGCCTGCATCGCTGCAGTGGTCGAGCTGCAAGCGTCGCCCGACTGCTCATGGCAGAGGCGAAAGCTCTGCTGCTCGTCGCCCTCGCCGACGGACAGCACGAAAAAGGTGCCTTTGGCTGGGTGTTGAGAAGTGGCAATGTCGGGAGAGGTGGCGTCGTCGGCGGCCGGAGGCGGAGGTGATGGCGATAGGGCGTGCAACTCAAAGTCGAACGCAAGCTCCGCCACGTGCGCCTGGGGCGTGGCGGGGAGGCCATCATCGCGTTCGTCGTCCTCGTCGCTCATTGCGAGCACGCTGCGCGGCGAGAGCCGAGCCGGGCCGGGAGACGTTTCGTGTTTTGTGGCGGAAGAAAACAGTCGCCGAATAGTATGGTATTGCGTATTCCCGTATCACTAGCTCCGAGGAGAGGGGGCGTTCTGCAGTTGAGGGGAAACCTGGTACACGGAGCCAACCATCGGAGAGTATTCTAGTATTACTTTGCTAACGAGACGGAATTCGTGGTGTAGCTGTGTTAGTGCCAGTGTGAGCCAGTCCCGAGTTGAGTGTTTTTCCAATTCTTCAAGGTTCGACTGGACGGCTGGACAGAGAGCAGTGTCGGCTCCTCGTTGCATCTCACATGATGTCATTCGCCTGTGCTGCTCTCCTCCCCATGCCGCTGCGGCCTGTTGGGACCGCGTCTCGCCCTCGCGAACGTGAAATACACCCTCTCATGGGCGCGCCGGAGTTTCTCGCTTCCGGGCGCGACGCGCTCCCGCTTGTTCACATGCCCATGGCAGAGCTGCTGCTGCCGGGCGAGTCGAGACGGCTCGTGATTAACCACGCAGAGGTGCGCTCCTCGCTCCCCCGCAGTGTTCGCGGCGTTGCGTTCTCGACGGCGCTCCCTCCCGGACACAGGGCCTCGCGGCGCTCGACGCGGCCAAGGACGGCGTGATCGGCTCTCTGCTCGTCACGCCGCACAAGAACGCGCTCTCCACCACCAGCCTGCTCGAGGTGCGCGAGGTGCGCAAGGAGGCCGTCGGTGTGTGCGTCGATGTCGTCGCGGTCGGCCGCCTCCACATCCCCAAGATTGAGCAGGGGCGGTGGCACGAGGCGAGAGGCGTCACCGCCGTGCGCGACGAGACGCGGGGCTCTGAAGCGCAGGACGAGGACGCCGAGGCGGGCGAGGGTGGCGAGGGCAACGTGAGCGGGCCGACGCTGCTGCGGGTGCGGCGGCAGCTCGAGGCGAGGGCGCTCGAGGAGCGCACAAGGCGAGAGGAGCCGAGAGGAGCCGAGATGGAGCCGAGAGGAGCCGATGGAGCCGAGATGGAGCCGAGATGGAGCCGAGAGGAGCCGAGATGGAGCCGAGATGGAGCCGAGAGGAGCCGAGATGGAGCCGAGGCGAGGGCGCTCGGCGAGCGGACCAAGGCGGCTGCGCGGCGTGTGTGCTCCGCCTCGAGCTGGGCCCTTCCCGGAGCCTTCCCTGAACCGTCTCGGACTCTGCCCACCAGGCGGCTGCGCGACGAGCTGTGTGTCCTCAGCCTCGACGCTCCCCCCGCGCCGTCGCTCGCGCGTCTCTACGGCGCGTGGGGCGTGCCCGACGAGACTGCCGCCCTCGCGCAGGTGACTCGCCAGATCCTCCTCACTCCCTCCTCCTCCTCTCCGTCTCCCTCCCCTCCAGCCTCCACCACCGCCTCCGCCTCCGCCCTCCTCTCAGCTCCGCTCCTTTGCCGCCTGCGACGGGCTGAGCGCTGTCCAGCGCGCGACGGCGCTGGGGATGGCTGATACGCGGGAGAGGCGCGAGATTCAGCCGAGATGCAGCCGAGATGTAGCCGAGATGCAGCCGAGATGCAGCCGAGATGTAGCCGAGCTGTAGCCGAGATGCAGCCGAGCTGTAGCCGAGCTGTAGCCGAGCTGTAGCCGAGCTGTGGCGGCGCGATGGCCGGCACGAGGTAGAGGTGTGTGAGCGGGCGGAGCCGCGCCGCCGCCCGCTCACTCCTCGCTGCCCCTCCCCCCTCCCTCGCGCCCTCTCAAAGGCTAGAGTTTGCGCGCGGCTGTGCGCTCCGGCGGCGACGACGAGCGGAGGCCCTGCTGGCGATGCAAGGGGCTCTGGCGGCGAGGGGGCAATGACACTCCGCGGAGCCGCGCACACGTTGTGTGCCACCTATGCGTGCACACGGCTGATTCGTGTGCCGTGACCGGCCGCTGCCGTCCACGCCGTAGACAGGCGCCCGCCCAGGCGCTGTGTATATTTTGGTTGAAAGGATTGAAAACTTAAAAAATGGCGCGCAGACGATATAACATATATATTTTTTGGGCAGATCGTGCTGCGAGCTGCGAGCTCTCTCCTCGAACTGCTCACATTGGGGATCAGCAGCTCACGAGAGCGGCGGCACGGCGGTTGTACACAGCTGGTGGCCAGCACAAGAGAAGGAGGAGCTGCGGCGCGGCAGTCTCGCCAGACCCTCACTCGGTGTTCGAGGCAGCGCGCTTGCGGAGCTCACCGTTGCGAGGGCGTGCGTTGCCAAAGCTCTTTGCCTTGCGCTTGCCTGGAGAGGGCACGGAGAAGCAGCTGAGGCGGCGGTTGATGCTGCTCGCGTGGGAGGAGCGGAGAGGCGCACCCTTTGCCGTCCGCTTGTCGCCCCTTCCCATCTCAACGTGGCTGCGCGTGACGGGCGCTGCGACTGCCGACAGGCTGCGCGCGGTCATCGGCGGAACGAACGCGACCGCGCTGGCGAGGAACGCGACGAGAAGCACCAGGAGACGGTTCATGGCGTAACCTCGATCTGGGTTCGGGCTCCCCAGCCGTCTGGGGTGCGGCGTGGACAAGCAATCTTAACCGCAGGTTGACACGCAAAAATCGTAAGAGGCACATAAACCTCTTCTCGGATTGAAACGCGCAGAAACACACAAAAGTTGGACAAGTGCGCTCCAACACCCCCACACACCGCACACAACCGCATAAATAAATAGAGCAGTCATCTCCAGGGAGAGATGGGCGACGCACACGAACAACAGGGGACAGTGCGCACCCCGCCCCGCACACAACGAAAAAGTATTTGATTTTTCTTTTAATGAGGCCCAAGGAGCCGGCGAGTGATAGGGCTGTGTGGATCTAGCGCGGTATTATCTCTCGCCGATGCGCACCGTCAACATTTCCGACTACACCCAGATCCACCCTCAGGGGGCGTCGGTGGGCGAGCGCACGCCGTCCCTCACGCTCGGCGACTGCCAGCGCGCGCGCGCCTCCGAGTGCAGCCGGCAGCACTCGCTGGCCGCCCGCTGCCTCGCCGCGTGCGCGCCGTTCCGCTGCTGCCCGGTTGCGAGCTTCCAGAACCGCGAGGTGTCGCACGCGATCGTCAACAACGACCTCGCCGCGCTGCGCCGCGCCCTCGCCCTCCGCACCGCCAACAACTCCAAGTGCATGTCGAGCTGCCACCCTGGCGTCAACGGAGGCATCGACGGCACGTCGGGCAACGCGCTACACCTGGCGATCGCGGGCGGCGGGTCGGCCGAGGTGGTGCACGAGCTCGTGCAGAGCGGCGCAAACATCAACCAGTCCGACCGCTCCGGCGCCCTCCCGCTGCACCTCGCCGCGGCTCGCGGCGACGCCTCCGTGCTCGAGGTGCTGCTCCAGTCGGGGCAGGTAGTCTCGCTCGAGGACGTTGATGTGGGAGACCGCTCGGCGCTGCAGCACGCCGCCGAGGGGGCGCACTGGGATTGCGTCCGGCTGCTGCTGCAGCACGGCGCCTCGGCGCACGCGCTCGTCCTCTCGGAGGCGAACCTTCCGAGAACCTTCCGAGACACCTCCCAGACACCTCCCAGACACCTCCCAGAGACACCTCGGGGACGCCTCCGAGACGCCTCCCAGACACCTCGCAGACACCTCCCAGACACCTCCGAGACACCACTTCTGAGACGCCCGCGCCTCACCCCGCCCCGAGGCGTCTCGCCGCGTCGACGACGGCGTCAAGCGGTCGGCCGAGGCGGCGGCGGTGTGCGAGGGTCTCTGGCGGCCTGCGGTGCGCTTCTGCGCCGTGGTTGCGCTCGGCGGGGAGGGCCGGCGCGCGTCGTGCACCCACCCCGCCCTCGCGACGTCTTGCGACGACAGCGAGTTCCACCGGCTGCTCGACAAGCTCGTGCGGTCGGCGCAGCTGCAACGGCACAGCGACCTGACCGTGCTCACCGAGCTCGGCATGATGCACTACAACCTGCTCCCGACGCAGGGCTTGCTCTTCATGGCAGTCACCATCAAGGAGATGGCCCAGCCCGACGCCTTCACCTTCCTCCGCAACTTGCGCGACCGCGTCTTCCGCGAGTTCCCGCAGGCGGCGGCGCCCGCCGGCTCGCCGTCGCAGTTCGAGGTGCCGCGGGGGGAGAGGCGCTGCTGCTGTGAGTGTGTGAACGGCGCCTCTTCACACGGCCGGCTGTGAACAGGAGCCGCAGGCAGAGGCGCTGCTGCGCGCGGCCTGCACCGACACCGACCGCAGGTATGTACTGGTGGTACCTCAACTACTGGACCAGTCGTAGTTCGCGTCGAGCCTTGATCACTAATGAACGCGTCAAGCAGCTCACTGCTCATCAGCCATCAGCCACTCCCCCGCCAGGTACGTCCCTCGCGTCGAGCCGAGGCTGCCCGCTCCCTACGGCGGGCCGGAGCTGCCGTCGCGCGCGCTCGTGTGGGTGGAGACCGCGCGCAACCTTGGGCTCGAGCGCGCCGCCATCGCCCCCGTCTCGGAGACCGAGCGGGCGGGGTGGCAGGGCGCGATCCGCGGGCTGCGGCGCTCCTCGTCCGGGTCGACCCTCGGCGTGCCGGAGGTTGCGCAGGCGTACAGCCACAACATGGTCGAGGGGCACCTCACTGACCAGCTGGCCGGCGTGCGCGCGCGTGTCGAGGGCCTTGACCGGCCGCACGCCACCGCGCTGCTGCCGTGACTGAGCATCACCCCCCTCAACTACGACCGGTGGCAACAATAGGCCGCATGCCATCGCGCTGCTCCGCCACTTCAAGTGGTCGTACGGCGAGGTGGTCAACGCCCTCGACGCGAACCCGCACCTCCTCGCCACTCTCTTCGGCGCCCCCTTCCACGCCGGACCGCCCGACGCCGCGCCACCCGCCGACGCAACCGGCGGAGCGAACGCGCAT